AAAGGTACCAAAATTTTTTTAAAAATAAATCACAAAATTCAAATATTGGTTGAAATCCAAGAAAAAACTGAGAAGTGCACAAAATACTTAAAGTCATAAATTATACTTATCAATATCTAATTTTTATACCTTGAACAAGTCATATAAAAGGCTTGCTAAAAGTTGGCTTGACTGTCAATGTATGATGGGTCAGATGTATAAAAAATGGGATACAAATTAAAAATCATTCATTTATTTTTCAAATCTCATAACGAATAGGTGAACTACCTGGATCACTATGTGCATAAGCAGCTGTAATACCTTTTTTGTGTTTATCCTTTTGTGGTGTAAATGGGTGTGGTGGAAGAGTACCAGAGAGATTGGTCACTTTCATGTCTGAACCATTATGTTCATCTTGTAGTCTATGAATAACTTCAACAACTTCCAACAACCAACACTATGAATTGAGGAGATAAGTTGACTGTAAAATGTAACAAAGCAATATCAGTCAAAGGAAAATACATTACCCTAAGATCCCACAAGACAACAACGAAATCAAAAAACTTTTTTCGCTCTTCTTCGAAACAGGTAGGAACGATTGTTTTATGTGTTCGTTCATATTGTAGAACGCCGCGAGACGGAACATGCATCCTCCATAACTCAATTCGGTTATCTATGAAATGTATAGATTCAAATATTAGATCATGAAGGAAACCTCGACAAATACCATGAAACACCTACCATAAGTATGCAAAGAAAAAACGCTCATTTTTGAAAATGTTTCACATGAAGCTCCGCGAAATCGCTCACCGATTTCTTCCAGCATATACGCATTACCTATTGGCAATTTACAGCAACCATCCCACGTTGATCGAGGGAGATCTTTGTCGCCGTATCCGCCACTCATCTCCAAATGTCCAACTTCTACAAAAGATTTCTTTAATCGCACAGAAAAAACTCCATCAGCTTTTTGTTCAAATGAAGTGACGAGCTTGCGTCTTTCACGACATGCTTTTACCGAAGATAGAATTATTTCTCCTCTTAAGTGAAAGTGTAAAGGGTTGAAAATAAGTAAGTAATGGTCATGAAACTATCATAAACGAAAAATCAAAACCACTCACATGTGGTAATGCAAGTTCTTTTCTAACCCAAAAAGCATGCTTTTTAGGGAAGGGTGAATGACATAACCACCATAATCTGATTCCGATATGCATTGCTGTTGCATTATCGAATATTCTGGAAAGACTTCGTGATAACTACGAGAAAAGGAAGAAATTTTAGCTTATGAGAAACCAAGTATATTGATAAAATTTTGATGAAGAAATCTGTGAAAGGTTCTTGAGGAGACATTACACAAGTTATCTTGAGTTCTTCTAGGATAAGCTTTTTACCATCTCCTCCGATTCTTTTGTCAATATTATTTAGTAAATGAATATCTTCTATACTATGTTCTAGAGATTCAAGCGATTTCTTATTGCCAAAGTGTAATTTTAGAATCCTTCAATGGTAAAGCAAAAAAACTCGCATAAAAAGGAAAACATACTAGTTTTAAAAGCTTAGATATGATTTCTGGACAGTCGATTGTTGCACGTCGTGTAAATTTTTGGATTTCCAAGTAGTCTTCACTACTACACCACTTTGGTTTCGCAATTCTATAACCGCAACGAACAATTCCCCATACCTCAGGTCTAAAAATTTGAATGATCAAAATTGAGACAATCGCAAATACTAATTAAATAATAAAATATAATCTACCTGAAAGGATGACCAATCTCACGAGCAGAAGCCGCCAAGAGATCGACAACTACCAGACCAGATTTTAATTTCCATTTCTTCCAAGTTTCTTCATTAAAAAAATTCTTAGAAGCTGGTACCAATTCGTCATCTGTTTCTTGAATTACCATCTCAGGATCAATAATGATTCCATTCTCATGATTTCTGATCCCATGGACAAAATCTGCATTCTGATAAACAGTCTGATTAACTTTTAATAGAAATGTTTAAGATGAGAAAAGGTAACTCTACGATTTTTTCTTGTTTCTAACCTCATTTAAATCAAACAATTGTGCGGAGTCACCTCTCTCTCTTTATGTCTCCATATCGATGGTTCTGAACTGTGTATTCAAAGAATATCAAAGAGTTAGAAAATATTTTTGTTAGTCAAATTTTAAATTATGTATTAACCTTATTGGATTCCTCTTCATTTTGATTATACCCCGAAAACTCGGAATATACTCACTTGTGAATATTCTTTGGTAATGAAGAAAAGAAATACATATATGTAAGAAAAGCAAAATCTGGTTTGTGTAATATTTGATGACATGATAGCACAGCAAACCTTGGCTTCTTCTAGTGTTTACTCGGCCATATTTTCCATCATTTCCTGTGTTTTATCTCTCACATTGACATGACAACGTACCTATATGTATGTCAGTTAGAAAAA